ACCGATGGAGCCTGTGTACGATGTGGCCGAAAGGGTCATCTTTGGAAGTGGTGTCGTTCAGATGTTAACAGCAGTGCATCTATCTCCTCTTTCTCCCGAAAGCGTACCCGCGATGACGATGGCGACCACGATATGGAACCACCGGAACCCCAACCTCAGAGAAAGCGAATGAGGCACCGTGCGAGAAAGCCGGCTGCTACGGCTGCTGCGGAATACACCAGTGGGCAAGCGTTTGTACGAGAACGCGGATCGGAATCGGAGATGGATTTCGATATGGATTTTCAATAGGGGACTCTGATGAGTCAGGTCAGGAGTATCCCCAGATTGCTATGTTATCACTGACGGAAAACAACAAAAAAAATATGAAAAGAAAAAGGCAGGAAGGGAGAGCGTCCCAACCGGAGAAAAAACAGAAAATTTTGGAGGAACCTATTCACGGTCCTCGACCTATCGTTAATCAGTTCCTTTGTTTTGCGGAAAAATGTTTATCTTGTAAGGTGTTATTGGATACTGGTGCAACTGGTCCTGTTTTGTCTGCTGTTTTTGTTGATAGTTTTGAGGTCCCGAAGGTGAAACGAGACGTCCCGGCCCGGGTATTTGGATTTACGGGAGAAGTTATGAAGGGCACGGGACACGCCTTTACACAACCATTAATTATAATGTCAAGGGGGCATCAAACACAGTTGTCATTCGAAATCGCCCCTCTCCCACTTGGCATCGATGCGATACTACCGAACTGGTGGTTGAAAGAACACAAACCGGTTATAGGAGTAAATGGGGAAGTTTCCTACGATGGTGAAAACTGCAAGAGTCGATGCTTCACTGACAAGGAACCTCAAATAGAAATGGACGAGGGTGTATTGGACGATCCGGAGGCCCAATTCATCGGTAGCATTTGCCTTTTGGAAGATGAATCGGTTAACCTCCGTGAAACTCTTCCCTCTTGGCTCCATGGGTTCCTTAAAGTCTTCCTACCATCGGAAGCAGATAAATTACCACCGCATCGATTTCACGACCATGCAATAGATCTCGAACCAGGGAAGCAGCCACCATGGGGACCCGTTTACTCCCTATCCGAAGTCGAGCTGAAGGTGCTTCGGGAGTACCTGGACAAAATGTTGCAATTGGGAAAGATTAGGCCGAGCAAATCCCCGGCAGGAGCCCCAATCCTATTCGTGAAGAAGAAGGACGGTAGTCTCCGACTTTGCGTTGACTACCGTGGACTTAACCGTGTGTCCATCAAGAACAGGTATCCCTTACCGCTTATGGACGAACTGCGAGATCGAGTAGCAGGCGCGGTTATCTTCTCGAAGATCGACCTGAAGGAAGGTTACAACCTCATCAGGATCAAACACGGCGACGAGTGGAAGACAGCCTTCCGTACGCGGTATGGGCATTTTGAGTACCTCGTCATGCCTTTTGGGCTGGCAAATGCGCCGGCGACCTTCCAGAATATGATGAATGATGAGCTGAGGGAATTCTTGGATCAAGGTGTAGTAGTATACCTTGATGATATCCTGATATATAGCAAATCTCGAGAGGAGCACAGAGACCTGGTCGGCAAAGTACTTAGTAGGTTACAAGAATACAACCTGGTCGCCAACCCGAAGAAATCGTTCTTCGAGCTCACCCAAATCGAGTTCCTCGGATACATCCTTGCCCCAGCAGGCGTCACCATGGCACTGGATAAGGTTATGTCTGTTACGAATTGGCAAGCCCCGCTCAGCGTTAAAGAAGTACAGATCTTCATGGGCTTTGCCAATTTCTATAGAAGGTTTATCCACAATTTCTCCGGGGTCTGTAAACCCATTACCGATTGTCTCAGGGGTGATGCTAAGAACTTTGTCTGGTCTATGACGGCTCAAGCAGCCTTCGAAAAACTCAAAACCCTATTTACATCTGCGCCGATCTTGGTACATTTCTCTCCAGATCGCCAGACTATCGTGGAAACGGACGCAAGTGATTTTGCTATCGCCGCAATTCTATCCCAGGTTATTGACGGAAAGACTCACCCTGTTGCCTTTTATTCTCGAAAGCTTAACCCAGCGGAACTCAACTACGACGTCTGGGATAAGGAAATGCTAGGAATTGTGTCAGCCTTCAAGCAATGGCGTCACTACCTCGAAGGACCTAGCCGAACGGTCCTCGTCTATACGGATCACAAGAACATAGAGTACTTCTCTACAACTAAGGTTCTTAACCGACGACAGGCAAGGTGGGCTGAGTCTTTGGCGGAATTTGACTTCAACATTATTTACAGCCCGGGAACCAAAAATGGGAAGGCAGATGCACTATCGCGACGGCCGGAGTACCGTTCTGAAGGGGGAGGCATGCTTGGGAAACAGCCGATAGACAGGTTCTTTAAGCCCGGACAGTTGGCGGAGGAAGAGTTTGTGGTATCAGCGGTGTCGCTTGCCTCCAAGGGGGTGATTGACTGGTCTAAGAATTTTCTGGATCATGTCAGGCAAGCGGCATCGGGAGACCCGTCATGGGTAGGAATGAAAGAGAGAGTTGAGCAGGGAGAGAAGCTGGGGGAACTAAAGGATATTGCTGAGAAAGACGGGCTACTCTTCTATAAGAACCGACTCTACATTCCGGCAGATGACCGCATCAAGATCCGAATCGCACAGGCAGAACACGATTCGAAGGTGGCAGAACACTTTGGACAAGACAAAACTTTGGAACTCATCACGCGTAACTTCTATTGGCCAAAAATGAACGAGTGGATTGATGATTACGTTCGGTCATGTGACGAGTGCCAGCGCAACAAACCCAGCCGCCACAAGAAATACGGCGTGCTTCTACCATTGTCCACACCACATTCTGTCTGGCAATCGATATCTATGGACTTCATCGTGCAGTTACCGGAATCCAAGGGATATAACCAAATCTGGGTAGTAGTCAATAGGTTCTCGAAGATGTCGCACTTTATCCCCCTAGTAGCAGAAACGACCGCCCAGGACCTGGCGAAAATATTCCTCGGTCAAATCTGGCGACTCCATGGGCTGCCTCTTGATATAGTCTCCGACAGGGACGCCAAGTTTACTTCAAGCTTTTGGGCATCCTTTATGGAGTTACTGGACATGAGGATAAGAATGAGTACGGCTTTCCACCCTCAGACCGATGGGCAGACAGAGCGAGTCAATCAAACCCTCGAGCATTATCTACGAGCATTCTGTAACTACGAGCAAGATGATTGGGCAGAGCTACTCCCATTGGCGGAGTATGCTTACAACAACTCGGTTACCACCGCCACGGGTCAATCTCCGTTCTATACCAATTATGGTTACAACCCAAGAACCAATTGGCCGACAGAAGCCGAAGTGGTCAACCCAACCAGTGACCTGTATGCTCACTTCATTCGAGGAGTTCATGATTCTGCTCTCGCTCGCTTAACAGACACCAGGGAGAGGATGGGGAAATACTATGATCGGAAAAGGGACGAACCGCCTAACTTCAAGGTGGGAGACATGGTTATGCTCAACGCGACCAACATCAAGACACGACGTTCTACCAAGAAACTCGATCATAAGAAACTCGGCCCATTCAAAATTGTCCGACTAGCCGGTAAACGAGCCTGCGAATTGGAACTGCCACCGCAAGTCAAAATCCATAACGTGTTCCATATTGAACTCTTGGAACGTTACCGACAGAGCACTATCCCAGGCCGCGAACAACGTCCCCCGACTCCCGAAAATGTCGATAAGGAAGGAGAAGTTCTGTACGAAGTGGAAAGTATCGTGGGCAGCCGGAAAAGTAGGAGAGGATTAGTGGAATACCTGGTGAAATGGCGGGGCTATTCGATGAGCGACTGTACGTACCAAGTCATGGACGTTATGAATAAGGAGGTACTTGACCTAGTCCGCGACTTTCATCGAAGGAACCCCAAGGCCGTGAAGGACCAACGCCTGAGACTATAGAGGGGCTAAGTCCTTCCCCTCCACAGACACCGCGGGTGATATGTGGAGCAGGTTTGCTGGAACCATAGTCTGTCAGAAGATGTCCCGAGACGTGACACCCTGGAAGGGGGGTAAGCTGTTACGGGCATGCCAAGCATTTATGAGAAAAGGCTAGTAGCTACCCCAATACCCTCTGCACGCTAATGTCAACTCTGGACCGCACCCGCGGGGTGTGGTGCGACCAATATACGACCAAAACACGGAGTCCTAAAAAAACACGTTTTCGACCCCAATAATAACCCCCGGAGCGTCAAACCACCGGAGGGGAGTGCTTTGGTACCGGTGGATATATGAGGGACAGCTGGAAGCAATCGGATCGAAGATCGGATCACTCGGAGCGAATCGGCGCAAGCTACCAGCCGACCGAGTACCTATCGGCGGTACCTATGGGCATGAGAGGACTCTGCTATGTGGGAAAGCGATGTGGGAAGAGGCCTGAGCAGGTAGCCTTGTCGTCCGAGACCTACGAGTAGCCAACGCTGACGATTATCCACCAGACGGCCGATGGAGAGGAAACATCGACAGGGAAACGTGCATAAGAGTGGGTAAATAGGTTGAGGGGTTCTAGCGGGGTTAGGAGTTTGGGTTACGGACTTAGGAGTTAAATGTTCTTGGTTGTTTTTCAGGGTCTCGGGCAGGCCCCGAGTGTATTCTGTATTATTAGTAGACTGGGTCCTCGAGACATAAGCGAGGGATATAAATACCGTGTCATTCACTGACTAGCCAAAACCATCATCGGCGAAATCAGAGTCTTAACAATATAAATCGTTGATACGCGAGTTACAACTTTATTTGACTATACTTTTGGAAATACTTTACTCTATCGTGACTTCGAACTCTACCTGAACTATTACGTCGACGACGGTCGAAGCATCATACGCTAACTCTAGTGAATCTTTGTTGATAACGTAGCTCGCGGGGCCCGTATCGGATCAAGGAGATTCATACTCGACGTTGACTGAAGAGACCTTGGAGACTTCTACCTTTGTAGCTGTTAGCCGAACTCTGAGCTCTGCGTAGTGTACTCTTGTGGTCTGGTACGCATCTCTCACAGAAGCCTGGTGTTTTGGATATTTGCACCAGCGCATCATCATCGATGTATGTTGTGTCCATCTCTTTCGGGCTGCTTGTTGGGTCCAGGATTACTCCGGCATAGATCATAAATAGTACCGGGGACATGGGGCTACCTTGCGGGACTCCAGATTCATAGGGCTGTGGTTCCTCTAGTTCATGGTTAAATTGAAACTGTAGTTTTCTGCCGGTGTTGAATTCCTTGCACCATTCTGTTAGGTAGGTGGGGAATTTTTGCTGGTGCATGATTTCTGCGAGGAGTAGGTGGTCTACACAGTTAAATGCTCCCTGGATGTCGTTGGTTAGGATCGCTGGTCTGTCCCGCCGGGCGACTCCGGTGCTGTTCTTCAAAAGTAGGTTTTGTTGTACCGGTGTTAGGGTTCTTAAGAGGGCGTCGATTGCTGAGATGATTGGTCTTCCTCCGAATTGATTCGCTGAGAGTGTGCCTAGGATTTCTCCAGCGGTGCAGAGTCTTTGAGCCACTATTTTCTCCAGGATTTTGCTGAAGCATTGTAGGAGGGAGATGGGCCGATAGGCTTTTGCTTCATGATAGTTTGCTTTGCCGGGTTTCGGGATCGGGATGCATTTTGCTATTTTCCATTCCGCTGGATGTACTCCGTGCCGAAGCATGGCGGAGAACATGTCTTGGATTAGAGTTGTGTTCGCTTTAACTATCGCTTTAATAAAGATATAGGGGATGCCATCCGGGCCGGTCGCCGAGTGCGTTGGGCAGGAGTCGATTGCTTTCCTGAGTTCTTCGGGGGTGACTGTGTCGAAAGTGTTGCTAAGGTCAAAAGAGGGGGGTCTGATTTTTAGGGGGGGATGGTCGGGGGACGTCCGTTTTGAGGGGAAGAGTTGGGCTCTTAGGGCTTGACACTTCCCTGCAAACGTTTCTTCACCTTGTATGGTTGGTATGATTGTGTCTCTTCTCCTTCCTACATTTAGGACTCTCCAGACCTCACTACCTTTCGCTTCGTTCATCGTCTTTTCCCGCTGGTCTGCTTTTGCTTTCCGGATCATGACTGTCCATTCTCTACATGCCTTCCGGTGCTCCTCCACGTGGTTGGATTTCCTTGTATTTCTCGCCTTCCTCTCTGCCGAGTTTACCCTTGCCTTCATTTGTTTCATTTCGTCTGACCACCAGGAGTTAGCTCTTACACCCTCCTTCGAGAGTGGCGTGACTATGTTGATTGTTGACTTGACCAGTTCCAGGAAGAATTCGACAGTTTGTTCCGTGTGTTCCTTGGTTTCCCATGCTTCTGCAGGGAGGGAAAGGTTTGATATATTGTTTTCCAATAGCTTCCAGTCTGTTTGTCGCCACATTCGTCTTGGTACAAAGGGTGGTTTCTCCAAGTGTAGATGGACAGAGGTTCTCCCGTGGTCTGAGCCCGCTCCTTAGGGTTCAGTGCTCCATCGTAGGTTGTGGTCAAGTATTGGGCCTTTTACAAATGTAAGGTCAATGATTGTGGGCCTTTTCTCTCTGTCTCTAGGGAAATGCGTGTAGACTCCTGGTTCATTCAGGAGGGTCAGTTTCTGTCGGGTTATCCATTGTTTTAGCCGTGCACCATTAGCGCGGTCTGCTCGAATGTTGTTTCTGTATTCATGTGAGGTTACTCCGTACCACATTTGATGGTGGCAGTTGAAGTCTCCCATTACTACGCAATTGTCGAGGGTTTGGATTGTATTTGCTATTTGGGCGAAGGGGCCACTTCGGCCTGGGAAGTATATGTTTAGGATTTGGGTTCTCTTGTTCTGGATTTCTACCGTAATCGATACTATGAAATTATCATGTGTGTAGTGATGTTTTGGTTTGAGGTTGGTATGTTTGCGGACGTATGTTGCGCATTTTGTATTGGTGTTGCTGGCTGTGAATAGGTAAAAAAGGTTTGATTCTGGTGGATATCCCTCTGTTGAGGTCCATGGTTCTTGTAATAATAGGAAAAATATGCTAGAGTCTGTTTCCGCTTCCTCCACCGCCGGCTTGGTGATTAGTTCGCTCCGTGCACAGTTAAGTTGATGTGCGAGCGCGGTGGTTCGAGGCCTAGGCATTATTTGTCATGTGTTGGTCGTCTTCGGGAACGGGTGTGACTCTAACCGGGGCGGTGGCTGGTACTTGGATTATTGAGAGTAACTCTTGGGCGGGTGCAGCAGGTGGGTCTTGGGCGGGTGGGGCGTTTTCCTTTCCTTTGTTGAGGAATCGGCGTTTGACTCTTTCAGGGCATGCTGGGTCGGAGGCCTTATAGATTCCTTTGCAGTTCAGACATCTGATTGGGGTGTGGGTGCATTTATGTCCTCCCTGGCATTCATTGCATGGGTGGAAGCTGGTAAGGTGATCTCCGGCACAGTGGCCGCATTTTCCATTGTTCCTGCATTTTTCCTGGCGGTGGCCGTATTCGAGGCATTTCGCACACTGGGTATCTGGGAAGGTTGGGAGGAAGGCCTCGATATGGCAGCTTCGGTTAAAAAGGGACAGAAATTTGATTCCTAGTGTTTCCATCGTGACTTGTCCTGGGAGCGCGATGACCATTGATGAGTGGGTTTTCCCCATTCGAGTCTCTGCTCTGGAGATCCAGCGGGGAACCTGTGCAAGTTGGAGGTTCTCTCCATAATTGCTTCTGATTTCGGATGCTACCAATTGTCCTGCCTCGATGCCCTCCCCGATCGTTGTGGGGATTCCGTGGAGAAGGAACTTTGACCATTTGGAGTTTGCACGGATGTTGGCGACCGGTACTTGTAGGGTGAGGAGGGCCTCCTCAATTTCTTTGGCATATTCCATTGCCTTCGTTGCTGGGGTGATGAATTTTGTTTCCAGGATGAAGTTGTCTTTGGCTGTTCTCCTTGCTGAGATAAAATGGCAAGATTCGTCCTGAATTCTTGCGTTGACCAGGGATCTAATCTCAGAGGGGTTGACGTCAGAAGGGGCAGTGGTTTCAACAATAATTTCTCTGTTGATTTTGGTATATTCTGGTTTAAAGAGGGGGTCCGCTTTTGGCTTTGCGGGCTTCTTTCTTTTTTCGACAACCTGGAATTTCCCTTGGGCAGGGTCGGCAGCTGCCACGGCTGCCCAGGTGCCTGCTTTCCATCCACGGGACGGGGCTTGTGGTGGTGCTTGAGGAGCTGCCTGTGGCGCTGCTTGAAAAACTGTTTGGGGAGCTGCTGGAGGGGCCGCTGGAGGGGCCTTTCTCTGTCTCTGTGGTTGTTGTGGTTGTTGCGCTTGTTGCGGTTGTTGTTGTTGTTGCGGTTGCTGCGGTTGTGGTTGTTTGTTGAGGAGGGCATGGATCGCCGAGTGCATATTGGTGATCATCATTGTTTGAGCCTCAATTTGATGTTTCAATGTTTCCACTGTTCTCCGGAGTGTAATCGATTGCTCTTCCAGGACCTCAATCCTGTCGGAGGGTGGGCAGATCCGGCTGGTTGCATGTCTGATGGCCCAGGTAATGTAGTTTAGGTCCGTCTGGGTGTGCGTGGCATGGGGGACAGTACTCGGGTAGAGATAGTCAATTCTCGGTTGGTAGGGTTCGTTGTAGTCGGATTCTGTTGCAAAGGTTGTGGAAAATTCCTGTTCCTGTGCTGCGGATGGGGTTGGGTCGGGATCCTGAGTGTTCCTGTTCTGTGGGGGAGCTGTCCCTTGAGGGGAGGACTGAGTAAAAAAGGACTGGAGGGAAGCTTGCTGCGACATGACTGAATGTCCGGTTCTTCCGGCGGCGTGGGTTGATGTTTCGGATAGGTTTCTTTTCCTTCCTTTCGGGAGGTCAAGACTGGAGAATTCTTCGCTGGAAGCCAGTTTCCGTGGTGTTTCTTTCGCTAGGAACAACAAACGCGACCGTACGGTCAGGGACGAAGTGGCTCAGCCTGGTATGGTATACCAGGGTAAACCAAGAGGAATAAAATAAACTGTTTTTGAAGCGAGGTTTATTGTCAGGAAGTTTTTGCGAGCCTTAGCGAGCCGGTAGAATACAGAAGAAGAAGAAGAAGAAACTTATATTGCTTTGAAGTACAAGACTTATCGCACGCCGACCCGACCGCCTAAAACCGAACCAAACAAACAAGACAAAAGAAAGAAAAAACAAGGACAACAACCGCAAACGCAAACAAACAAGAACAAGAACAAAAACACGCACAAGCGAGCATAAACAATAACAAGGAAGTTCCGGAACAACACCCGACCAGAAAACCCAACGACAAGAAGAAATAACATATCTCAGCGGACTCGAGCGCTGGATCCATCAAATCAAAGAATAAAAACAATTTTTAAAGAGTAAAAGGAAACTCCCCTTCCTAATCCCGTTCCCGGTCATTTTCTTCCATCCCCTCTTCCAGGTCCGCCTCCGCCTCCGCCGACTCGTACCATTTCGAGAGTTGAGATTGTTTTGCAAATTGTAGGATGAGGTCCGTTCTCAGGTTTGTAAACATCCAGTTTTCCCAGGTCATCGCTCCGGGGATCTTCTCTATCAGAGGGGTGCGGATTCGAGCCCACGCTGGGCATTCCATGAGTATGTGTTTCGCTGAGTTTTCCATCCCACACTGGCATGGTTCGGGGTCTGTATATACTGCGTGTTTGTCGATTCGGGTGGTTTGGCACCGGATTCGAAATACTTTTTTTGCTTCCGTGAGGGTGAGTTTCGCTATCTTGGGAGGGGGGCGGAAGTCCCCCCGGTGGTGGTAGTTCGGTATTGATTGTGTGTTCCATTCTTCCAACAGGTGGTCGCGTAGTAGTTTATTTTGGTTCCACTTTTCTCTCGCATTTCCGGGGGTCTGGTATGGGAGTAGTAGGGAAGCGATTCGGTGTAGGCCTGTTCCTTTGATATTTGCTTCTTTGTAAGGGAGGAGCTCGATCAGGGATTCATTGTTGGGATGGGTTGCCTCGGAGCAGAGTATTCTGGTTCCGTACTTTCTTGAGCGATATGTCAGGAGGTGTTCTAAGGGGGGTAAGCCTGCTTCTCGGAGGAGTTTAGCTCTTTTGGTCCATCGTGGTAGGCCGGTGATAATCCGGGCCGCTTCATTATATAGTGGTTCGAGGGATCTTATAATGTGGTCTGTGTAACGGAGCCATTTCAACTGTCTGGTGTATGAGTACACACAGGGCCCGGTTACATGCTGAGAGCTATTGTTAGAAGCCAGTTGCACGGTGATATGCAAGTACCGGCAGTGTGGTTAGCTACCAGCTGTTAGAGTAACTACATTCCGGGCGCTAGGAAGAGGATCTATTCATGGGAGCAATGACTGACGAGTCTATGCCTCGCCAGTGACTAGAAGACCGGCCAGAGTGAAGCTCTGATTGACCGGTGATCCTCTGTATCCTCGGTGCATTGTAAGTCCGCCGAAGGGCAGGGACTATGCTAGGGAAGTCTACAATAAGCGAAAGCTCTACAGCAATGATTAAGCTTACACCTGAGCGGCAGCTCATTCATGCAGGTCCTCAGTTGTGTGGCAACCAAGGCTGCAGGTGTTACAAAGGCTTTGACTAAGGGTGGTTGCCTTGGGTATCGGAAACACCTGCTGACGCTTAGAGAAAAGCGGGGTAGCGGTGGTATTGTTTCCGGTACTGAGGGAAGGCCCACCGGAACTTAGTAAAGGAGTTAGGAGCAGAGAACAGAGGCCTTCGGAGTATAAGTACTCAGGTTCATTCCCGCCCTTCAGTCCTATTCTCTCCAGTCTTCATCAGAAAGAAAAACCAAGTTCTCATCGGTAGCAGAGCCCTTAAAGATTATTGAGTTCTAGCGATAGTATCTTTGAATAATCTGCAACCTGATTGTCTATCTTGCACGGCCGTCTTTATTCTATACAAATCTATTTCTCTTAGAAAGGACCCCCGTTACAGATAATCTTTAAGGCTCAAGTCACCTTCAGATTATTCTTCCTCTATACAAAATGTCCGCCCTCTCGGCTCCAGATGCACCCCTTCAGATTGAATGGCAGCCGGTGCCCCTCCAGCTTGATGCCACCGGGCAGACACAGCTTGTTAAGAAACCCAGGACCGCTCTACAGGCCTATATTCCCGGCTGTGAGCCTGCCTGGCAGGATACCGATGAGGTTTCCTTACAACAGTTCTTCACAGAGCTTCAGACCTACCTCCAGCATAGCTTGCAGAGTCAGTTGAACCGAGGCAGTCAGGCACTGCTCATTGTACAAGAGCGCCAGGCAGCACAGAATGCTCTGATGGCAGAAGCTCTAGAGTACATGAGGTCGGAAGTCAACTCTGTTCAGGAAGAGCTCCGGAAGTATGCAGAAAGAGATGAACTAAATGCCGATGTTGATGCCATGGAGATTGAGTGGACAAATCCGGCCACTCCACCAGACTTTGTTGCCGAGATACAGAGAGCTCTTGATGAAGGAAGGTTGGTGGTGGGTAGACCAGCAACTCCGGCACCACTTCCAGTCTCCAGGTCCTCTTCCAGAGCAGCTACCAGGACAATGCAGCGGAAGACCAGCCCCTTTGCAGCATTTCCGGTCCGATCCACTAGGAGAGTTATCCCTATTGTACAGCCAGCGGTGGGGGCTTCACCCTTACCACCTAGCCGCTTCGGTGGAACACATCCACTCCTTGGAGGAGCCGACCGATCCTTTGACTATGAAGGAGAGTTCTTCTCAGGTGCAGGCCGAGGACCTCCTAGTCCGCTAGCCAGGAACCCAGGAAGGTTTACCATGTCTGGGGCTGCTCAACCAGCAGCAACCTCACCACTGGCTAGCAACCCGGCACCAGTAGCACCTGTGGCCCCTCCTGCTGCGGCCGCTGCTCCCCCTCCACCTCAGGCACAAGGAGGAAGTGGCGGAAATCAGAACCCTCCACCTCCAGCAGCCCGTGCTCCCGCCCCAGGAGATTCGGATAATTCTGACAGCTCAGACTCGGAACCAGAAGGTAATAACAGAAGAGGTTGGCGGAGATACCTTAAGAAGAAGTTGGAGAAGCAACAGAAGAATCTGTTGGCAATGATGTCCCAGCAGTATCAACCTCCGACCACCTCCCACCCTTCTACTTCCACCAGAGCTCGAGAACCAAAGGCACCACCACCATCAAAGTTCCAAGGCAAGGCGGAGCAAGTGGAAACCTTCATCCGGCAATGTGAGAATGTGTTCTCCATTGAGAGCCTGTCATTTACCTCTGAGGAGGTTAAGATCCGATATGCAGGCAACTTGATGGAAGGGGAGGCAGCGATCCGATGGTATGAGGCATACCACAATTCAATTGATCAAGCCTCCGCCAACCGCCTTGCTGGAATACCGGTGCAGTTGGATCAGAGATGGAAGCGCTGGGATTCCTTTGTGGATGCTTTTAGAGCTGCCTTCGGTGAAGCCATCTCTAGAGATGATGCTGTAGCCCAATGGAATACCCTCACCCACACAGCTCGAGGAGGAATAGACCTCTTCCTGAATACTATTATTCAGCTGATGTGGAAGACTGGCTATGAGGGTCAGTTGGTGGATGATAAGATCCATAACTCCCTCCTCCCGGACCTAGGCATGAGTTGGGCTCTTTTCAACCCCAAGCCAAAGTCCTTGATGGAGCGGATAGCTGCTCTAAGAGAGTTAGGGCATACCCATGAGAGGTACCAAGGGATGGCAGCTGAGAAAGCGCACCCTCGGACCAAGAAAGATCCTCCCGCTCAGAAGGACCAGCAGCCTAAGAGGAAAAGAGAAGCTGCGAGCTCCTCCGGACCTCAGAAGACTCCAGGACCTAAAGACAAAGCGGTGGAACTGAAGGGTATCCCGGGGGATATTCTAGAAGAAAGAAGGAAAGCAGAAGTATGCTTGAAGGTATGACCTTCCGGTACTCCCTATTGGTAGAGTGCATAGACTGACTTGTGCAATAGTGCGGCAAGTCCAGACACAAATGGACCGATTGTTGGTCCAAGGAACCTACTGTTGTCCGAGTGGCAGCAGTGAGAGTACAAAAACGGAAAAGAGGGAATGGCAAATCCAACTCTCAGAAGAAGGCTAAAGTGGCTGCTGTAGTAGCAGAAGATCCACTTGTTGTACTCCCGGAGGTTACAGAAGATTTTGTTTTTCAGCCTGAGCAAGACTCGGACAATGAAATCATCTGGTAGAAAAAGTGTCTGTTTTAGTCTATGTTTACTAGTTTTCTTTTATATGGGTTTTTGGTTTCTATGTTTCTCTTGAATAAATTATGATTGTGTTTCCGCCTATTTGATTGCTCCAAGCACTCTGAGGATGGGTTTAAGACCCGAAACAGCTGGTCTGTCAGTGCTCTACCAAAGTTACATTTTGCTACCAAGACACTTCCAAACCGCTGCTAAAAAGACTACTACACAATATATCTGCTATATTACCGCTTGGGAATAGAACCAAAGGATCTCTGATCTTAGTAGTGCCCGAAGCTATTAGCTATGTTGAAAAGACAAAGAGAAACAAGTTCAGAACCCGCTGTTAAGCAAAGAAGGTTGGAACAGAGGCTTCCCTCCTTACCAGTACATGGAAAAAGACCTATATTAAAGGCAGGACTGTCATGGACGGTCAAAGGAAAGGATGAAGGCGCCCAAGGGTCTTTTCTGTTTGACACCGGTTGTACAGGAGCTATCCTCAACCAGAGTTTTGTCAGGAAACATGGAATTCCCTTAGTGCGGCGGGATCAACCTCTGACAATGTTTGATGCTCAAGGAGATGTCATGATGGGAGGAGGCGAGTATTACACTCACCCGGTCCGCATGACTATGGGAGATCATAAAGAGACACTCCGATGGGAAGTGGCTACTTTGGAAGAAGGAATGACCGGTTACCTGCCAATTAGTTGGGCTAGGAAGCATAACCCGGACATCAACTGGGAACTCAACACCATGAGCTGGAGAAGTGACTACTGTAAGCAGAATTGTCTCCCAGCGGCCACCAAGATTGAACTGATCTCTCCATACCAAATGTTGGAAGAAGAAGAGACAGTCTATCAATTGGTTGGTTCAGTATGGCATGATGAGGACGGAGGTGATATTGCTGAGAAAATACACCACCTATACCGGGATTGGGCTGATGTGTTCAGTCAAGAGAAGATTGAGGAAATGCCGCCGCATTCCCATAATGATTTAAAAATCAAACTCTTGCCTGGGACCGCTCCCCCATTTGGCCCACTGTACCCATGTTCCGCTCCAGAGTTGAAGGCCCTCCGAGAGTACCTGGACAAAGAATTGTCTTCAGGAAAGATCTCTAGATCTAATAGCCCTGCTGCGGCGCCCATACTGTTCATTCCTAAGAAGGATGGGACATTGCGAATTTGTGTGGACTACAGAGGATTGAACAAGGTCACTGTCAAGGACAAGTACCCGCTGCCTATCATGAGTGAGCTCAGAGACAGGTTGTTCAAGGCCCAGATCTTCACAAAGATAGACCTGAAGAACGGCTTCAATTTGATCAGGATAGCAGAAGGTGATGAGTGGAAAACCGCTTTCAGAACCCGCTATGGACTGTATCAGTATAATGTGATGCCATTTGGTCTATGCAATGCCCCCTCAGCCTTCCAGGCAATGATCAATGATGTGCTAAAGGAACTACTGGATGAAGGAGTGGTTGTCTACATCGACGACATCCTCATCTACTCGGAGACTGAGAAAGAGCATGAGCTACTGGTCAAGAAGGTATTACAGAAGCTTAGGGAAGCAAAGCTCTGTGCCTCGATCAATAAGACATCCTTCCATGTCCGAGAAGTAGAATACCTAGGCTATCATATCTCGGAACAAGGAGTATCTATGTCAGAAGACAAGGTGGAGGCAGTTAAGGAATGGCCGGTCCCTGAGAATATCAAGGCAGTACAGGCATTCCTCGGATTTGCAAACTTCTATCGCCGCTTTATTGAAGGCTTCAGTAAGGTTTGCAAACCACTAACTGACCTCCTGCAAAAAGACAAGAAATGGTATTGGACAGCAGCACATGAGCAGGCCTTTGAAGAACTCAAGAGGCTGTTTACAAGCGCTCCAATCCTCCTTCATTTTGACCCTAGTAGGAGAACGGTGGTCGAGACAGATGCCAGTGATTTTGCCAAGGGAGCGGTGCTCTCTCAGTATGGGGATGATGGGAAGCTACATCCGGTGGCATTCTATTCTAAGAAGTTCTCC